GCCCCAGCTCTATAAAACAGGATGAATTGGCCGATGTGAAAGGCCCTTGCTGTGCCAAGGTCCATTCCACATCATTCGTGGCCGTAGAGGACCGTAATATTAACGGCTGATCGCGTGGCTGGATGCGGACAAGGCTACGCTGTTACCGTGTCCTGCCCCGGGCGATTGCTGGTGGCGCCGTGGGGTTTTAGTGGGTATGCACAACAGCGAGTCCCACATAACCCTTCCCCAGCAGGCCAACCATGCCGCGGGAGGGTATGCGTAACGCATTTCCCCACGAAAAAAAAAAAAGTCTGTTGCACAGATCCCCGTTATCAAAGACGTTGCGCCTACTGAATGCTGTCTCCGACACTATCGACATATTTATATGTTCGCAGAGTGAATTCACAGTAGCGATATTGTGTATATTATGTGTTTAATACTATTTAAGTACTTTATTATATTATTTTATTTAATGTTTCTCGACATTATCGTATTGGCATAGTCTGTAAGGATAATGTATGTATTTCTGTAATAAATAATAATTAGATTAATAAATACAATAAATCCTTTTTATCATGAAAATGTTTTCTTACACATAATGAGTTATAGTCACCGAAGTCATACGAATTTAAAAAAAGTTATAATGGCTTCTTCATAAATATTTAACAGTTGATTGCCACCTGTAACATCGCGCTTAGTGATAATATTAAAAAAAATCAGTACCTTCAGAATAAAATATTACAAGTCTCACCTTTGTCACGTAAAAAGAAATATTGTTAGAGTCAAGGAAGATTCATTGTATTCAAAAGTCGTTGGGTGCGTGGCAATAAATCACTGGATTAAAAATCGGGGCTCAGTCGATAGGGTCGGCTATATATCACATGGTAAACTCACCAGCCGGACACAACTGGACTCTGCTATTTCATTTGACCGGAGATTATTTTTAACGCGTCATTTTGGTCCTTGTGGTCATAAAGATATATATAGGCTGTCGGATTTATACACGACGGGAACGACAATTAACAAAAATTGTATTTCTTTTCTTTAGCTTTATAATCTTACTTTTTTAATGGCTCTGGCACGATTTGTGCATTAGCCAGCGTCAAGCATAGGTTTTTTTTTTTATAATTCGTGCTTGTCTTTAGAAATTCGACCGTGTCCTCCATGTACGCTTTAAGCACTCGCCAGGCACCGCACAACCCTCCCAAAGGCCGAGAACAAATTTATATTAAATTAAAACTTGCCCTCGAACCGGGAATCGAACCCGGTACCCCTCACCTAGCTGCCACTTAATAAGACCGCTAGGCTATGAGGCCCATATAATCTTACTTAATTGCTATTTATTTAGAGCAGTGGCTTCAACGTGCGTCTCTTATCCCTGAGGTCGTAGGTTCGATCCCCGGCTGTGCGCCAATGGACTTTCATTCCATATGCGCATTTGCGCTCGAAAGGTAAAGGAAACATCTTGCCTTAGCCCCAAAAAGTCGACGGCGTGTGTCACAGGAGGCGGATCACCTACTTGCCTATTAGATTAATTGCAAGATTTAAATTGCCTATTAGATTAATTCATATATGCCATCATGCTACTTTTTCGATACGAAAAGTCGAAAGTTGAATGCTGCGATATTGAGGGCTACTCGATTGTAAGGAGGTTGCATGGTTCTGGTAAGTGCTGCACCTTATTAAGTTCTCGTGTGATTATTACACGTGTATATGCTTTTTCTAACACATTTTAATAAGTATTTGATTGTGCTCATTTTAAAATAAAAACATAGCACCATAATTCGTAAAGTACACTTTTTCAGCCGTGGCATATTTATACAAACAATTGTGTGTTATCTACGTAAAATGTAAAACGTTTTGTAATTTTCAAATATATGTAGATCAAGTACAGCTATCTTTACTGTATTTACTCCTTATCTAAGCGTTAGCAAAGGTGTTAATTACTATTGTAGAAAATGTCAAATTTTACAACGAACTCAAATGGTTTCATATTACCTTTAATAGTAAATTACTTTTAATCAGTTGACATTGATTTCAGGAATACTTAACATTTTTAAATTCCAAATGTAGATAAGTAAAAGGTATCCTACGATATTTTTGGGGTATAAAAGTGATCGCGTACGATCCATCAATTAAAAAAAAAAGAATTAAACTGCCAATAGGAATAATTATTTCCTTCTCTGAAAATATATAATACTAGTGGACCCCACAGACGTTGTCCTGCATGATATGTAAAGCGATTAGGATATTAAGCAAAGTATGAAAGTACCGACTGCAGTGCCATCTGCCGGGCTGATTTGTGAATCTAAACCATTCCCAGATCCCCTTGAACACACACAAAAAATTTCATCAAAATCGGTCCAGTCGTTTGAGAGGAGTTCAGTCACATACACACGCACAGAAGAAATATATATATTAAGATTATATTCTATTGATAATATTATGATTTGGTTTTAGAGCTGCGGTTAAAAGGGCAGTCATCGCAGCCTTGGACACCCATTTTAGTGGGTGCGTTGCCGGCCTTTGAGGGAGGAGTATCCTTTTTTTTTAAACGGTTGATCGTCGGGAAGAACTCCTTCTAACAAGCGAGCTAGTTCCACAGTTCGCTAGTTCGCAAAAGAAAATGTATTGTGAAGCGGACCGTTGAAGACTTCCAGCCATCAAGGATGCGGGCGAAATTTTTAATTCATACATGTATGTACATACAACTTGAAATGGTTTTCTCTAAATACTATAAAATAAAAACATACGAATCTATAGGTGTTTCTATTATTGTGTTGTGTGTAGGAAACTATGTAATATATTTGTATCATGGAATCTTACCCTAAATTATTATAATTGTATGTTATTCTAACATAGCCCTGTGTTTTGTGTACCACAATTTACACGCAACATTGGTTGTATTGTAATAAAAACGATTACATAAGTGGAGCAATATCTAAAATGTATGAGGGCTGTAATAGGAAGCGAGTTTTTATTGCCGAACGTAAAGAAAACAGCTGCAGAACAAATCAAGCCGTTAACGGCTCTGGAAATAAAATTTATTTATGGGGTATCTTATCACGTAGAGCAAGTGTTGGCCTAGTGGCTTCAGCGTGCGACCTGAGGTCGTAGGTTCGATCCCCGGCTGTGCACCAATCGACTTTCTTTCTATGTGCGCATTTAACATTTCCTCGAACGGTAAAGGAAAACATCGTGAGGAAACCGACATGTCTTAGAACCAAAAAATCGACGGCGTGTGTCATGCACTGGAGGCTGATCACCTACTTGATATCTTAGGCCAAGACCTAAAGAGGTTGTAGAGCCTTTTATTTTTTTAATCTTATCACGTAAAATTGATTAGACTAAGATGCATTACGTGTTAAGCAATTCCCGAGTGGTAAGTCCTAGGAAAAGGTTACGTAGAAACAGGTCCAACACTCAGAAAGTATCTTTCCAGACCAAAAAAAAATTCTAATGATATCTGTATTTCTTTAGTGATCTTTTGTTTCTAGGCCAGTAGGTGTTTCTGTGTTCGACAGACGCCGTCGTCTTTTTTGGATCTAAGGCATGTTTTCTTTCACCGTACGAAAAGCGCACATAAAAACAAGGCCGGGTTCGAACCAACAATACTCTTTAAATTCCTGATTAAATGTTTATTTCCAAGGCCATTGCGATTTGTATGTTCAAGTCACCAGGCCAACACTGCTCGCGACTTTTCAGATGGAGCAACATATTTTTCGTTCTTTAAATATAATTTCTAATAGCCTTGGACACCATGGCCTCTATTGGCAAAAGGGTTATGGTTACCTGGTAGATAGTTCCGGTGAGCCCAGAGCTGGCACTTTCCTGGCTCAACGAATAAGTATCGCAATACAGCGTGGAAATGCTGCCAACGTTACAGGTACACTGCCACAGGAACTTGCTCCACTTATGTAATCGTTTTTATTAATGATTATTAATTGTTAATCTAATAAGCAAGTGCCTGACACGCCGTCGACGTTCTCGGTCTAAGGCAAGCCGGTTTCCTCACGATGTTTTCCTTCACCGTTCCAGCAAATGTTAAATACAAATAGAAAGAAAGTCCATTGGTGCACAGCCGGGGATCGAACCTACGACCTCAGGGATGAGAATCGCACGCTGAAGCCACTAGGCCAACACTGCTCAACTGCTGTTATATATCATTCAATACAATTTCAGAAGTTGATAAAAATACAAAAAATTTCCAGAAAACGAATTCAACAGTTAATAAAATGTTTATTTACATAATAGCGATGTATGGCAAACTGTTTTATTTATATAACCATGGTTAACTTTCACTGTATTACCATTTACATTTAATTACAATAAATAGAGAAAATTGTATATTACAAAGTTTCATAGGGCAATTAATTTGGCTTCACACAGACTGAACAAATTAAGAATTCCCTTGAAGGCAAAATTTTGGTTCATCAATAAATTATAGTAATTTTTAACGCGTATAAATGAAGTAGCTTTTGAATTAAATCTTTACTAATACTCATTTTCTGATATAAATTGAAAAGGGAGGGATGGTTTTTCTTAGCGCCCTCTTTCCAGCGATATCGACCGATGGGTCGGTATTCCATGATACGATTTTATGACACTCTGATCCTTCTAGAACCAGTCGAACGGAGTCTTTGGGCTTTGGCTTCGCTTATTATGTTCAAGTATTACGTAAGCACTATACGGGTTTCTTTGATTTTCTTATTTGGTGATTACGTCAACAGTAATTATTTACTTTTTTACACATATTACCATTGTCTATGCTTGATAACGAAATGCATTTTCAAAGACTCCTACAAAAAATTAATACGTTTATGTACTAATATTTTTGAGAGCTTCGGTGACAAGAGAGAGAGAGAGGGGGGGATAAATTGCAGTAAATCTGCTTACGTAATACTTGAACGATCCCCTAGGAAGCGGTAGCGCATGGCCGGCAAAGGGGTTCTCTTGTTTCAGTGGCCAAGGCTTCCTGTACTAGCAGAGTAGTACTTAAAACTTAGTTTCACATGCCCTTAGGAACACAGAAGAGCGGGATCTAAAAACGACCGCAATTCGTTTTCACTGTAGACCTTATCATTCCGGTCATTATAATTTAACGCTTCACAGACTCGACAGTAATGAAATGACTTCGTACCGAAATAGCCGTGCTCACTTACAATTTTGAAATCATTTCTCCATCGGTGGTATTCGAGCATAATGTGTTCGTTTTCGCTTAAAAATTTAATGTAATCCGCTAAATTGTCCGGTCCATTGAAGTTATCAACGTGTAAAAATGAGTTGGGTGGCAGAATTTTTGCGCAGTCATCGTTTTTCGGTCCCATTATGACTGGGATAGCGCCCTTTTCATAAGCGTTGTTGAATACCTTCTCCGTAATGTACTCGCGGCATTGAGAGTTCTCGAACACAAGGTAAAATAAATATTGGCCCGTCACCTTGCAGTCGGCTTTGAAATGGCCGGGACAACTGAAATTTAATACTATTATAAGTACATTATTCATTATTGTTAGATATTTTATTGTGTTTGAAATGTTTTAATATTATTATGTACATGCCATTCAAATATCTGCGATATCATACTAATATTATAAACGGGAAAGTTTGTAGGGATGGATGTTTGTTACTCTTTCACGTAAAAACGACTAAATGGATTTTAATAAAACTTTACAATAATATAGCTTATACATCAGAATAACAATTTATAAAAATACTGTGTGAATTGTCCAAAATATCAAGTAAGTAGGAAAAAATCTACCATCTGCCAGCTATTGTGGCGTGCGCTGCCAAAACCGCTAGAGTTACACATATGTAAGGTCTGATGGAAATATTTATCTTAACAGTATATATCTATGTCTGATGTGTAAGGAAAATAGTGAACCATTACTACAATAAAAATTGATAATTTCTCAAATGCACATTTGGTAGTAATAAATTGATTCCTAAATCAAACTAGGTAGGTACTTTTATCGCTTCTGGTATTTAAAATAGATAAAATATGTCTTTCACGCTACATCATTTGGACAAATATTAATCTAATCCTGCGCAGACGAAGTCGCGTTGAGTTGCGCACTTAATAATGTTGCGGTAAAGACCGATATACTCGTAATTATATTTAACACCGACCAAATTTAAAAGATTCGCATCGTCCATTATTTGTTATAATAAGTGTAATATACTTCAGTATACTACAATAATGTTTAGGTAATTTTTTTCTATCGAATTAGTGTTAAGTTACTGTAATAGTCGAAAATAAGGTTAAAATACATACATACTTTGAAGCTGAAAATGAATACTAAATGCAATTACGATATCCCCGCGAAGTAATTAAAGTATACTGTTAACAGCGAGCAATGTAATTAAAATAACTATTAATCACGCTTTCAATAATAATCATTGAATTCATTACCTATTTTTATGATCCTTAGAGCATTTTCCATGGACATCCAATGGTAGGTAATTTTCTAACTCGTGCAGGTATTCGAGTCTTTTCGATGGTCCACAATTAGACACCAGGATTGAAGCCAGCTTATCACGTCGTTTAATATGCCAATTTGGGACCAACTCAGACAAAGACTTAATTGTGATGTCGCCAAGTATTGGTTGCTGAAGGGGCACTGTGCGACCGTAGGGGACTGGTATATCCGCGTCGATCCTAAAAAAATATTGCTATGATGTCGTCTCCTTTGAATGTTAAACCTATATAATTTACCTGGGACTAGTGCTAGACAGGCTTCTAATTAATTTGCGATATTTATTTTAAAATAAGTTTTGTTTGCCATAGTCATTTTCTATGATGAATTGTTATTAAAAGAGTACCGAGAGTTTTTTACGCCGGCTTTTTCTCTCGGCCTACACCCTCTGTCTTCTTTGCCGATGAGTAGGGATGTCTACCGATCCAAACTTAATAACGTGGAATAAGTGATACCTGTATCCTACTTACCATAGTAAAAAAATATATATATTTTAAAGAATTACTATAAATACGAACAATTTCTATAATGAAATCGGTTTGGGTAGGCCTTTTCGTATATACCTGGACCAAAACTAGGAAGTACCTACTAGATAAGGGACGAAGTTAAAAGTACCTACCCATTACCCATGAGCATGCATGATAAATGTTATGAAAGTGGATGAAGAGAGAGAGGTATGTCAGAACCGTAGCAAGATGAGATCCGTGGCGAGACGATATAAATAAATAAATAAACGAACAACTTTATATACAAATTTTGTAAGGTATAACCTGGCTTTTCATAAGCAGATTGAATTAATTAAGAATACCTTTGTAGGCAAATTTTTCGTCAAATTAAATATGGAAATGAAATTGTAGAGACCCCCTTCAAATAATAGCTTATGAATTCTAGTGTAAGTCCTAGAGACTAAAAGTCGAATGCTCTGGTCCCTACACTAAATGAATGAGAATTTTATTTCAAAACACCTCCACGGCCAGCGCCGTTTAAGACTAAAAATCGCGTACGAATCGTGCTCGCATAGGTCCTGCTTGTTGCTGTTCACACTAGTCGCTGCATCAATCAACTCGAGCTGCGTGTTACCTCTCCTAAGCAACCATTTATTCCGAATGCGCGAAACACGACCTTTAATGATGTGAACAGGCACTTGACTTTCGACTTTTAGTCAAATGCGACTTACGACTAGTGTGAACGGGCTGTAAGTTGCTGTATCAAACCACTGCGAACCTATTCTAAGAAACATTAGGTTTATGATGTCTTCTTTCGAAGGTTGGTGATTTTATAATAAATAATAATAAAAACTTTATTTATGACAAAAGGGTTGTGACAGAATTCATCTATCGCCAGTCCCCACTCTAGTATAGGGAGTCCCTATGTTGTGTGTAACTAGACAACAATTATTCCGTGGTACATGGTACATGTTTAGAACAGTTAAAAAAAAGTAATTTTAGTGTTACAACTGTCTTATAAGGCATTAAGTATGAGTGAATGTGTGAGTGTGTGAATGGGTGTATGCACATGTATTTGGGCGTGTAGCTGAGAGTTATGAGTGTGCGCTGCATCTGTGATAGTTTTGGAATCTCAAATTTTTTATGATTACTTTGATTTTGGATGAACGATGAAATTAGTGTGGTGCCTAAAGTGCCTTATTCTTCTCTTACTGTGTACAAACGCGATAATAATCGCGACAGACATTTGTACCATAGTTAGCTAGCAAGCCAATATACGCCAATATAGGCTTTCGCTTAAGATGTAAATCAATGTGACGTGATACGCAATACGCACAGGCAATCCTTATTGGATTGGTTTATTTTATTCACGAGCATGTAAAGCACCGAAAATCTGAAAAAACTTGATTTAAAAAGTCCCATATAAATCTTTACACGTTATTATAACTATTGTGTAACTTTCTGACAGACTCATGCCGCGCAGGTAGAGCCTTAGCTTAGTGCATTAGACCACTAGCTTCAGCATGAGTTTCCCATCCCTGAGGAGAGGTTCCAACCCCGGCTGTGCACCAGACTTCTAGGTATGTGAATGCATCATTTGTACGGTAAAAGAAACATCGTAAAGATGTCAACGGCGTGTGTCAGGCACAAAAGGCTGGACATCTAGTTGCATCTTAGACAAATGATCACGAAACAGATACGCCTCTGGGCCTATACGATATAAAAAAGGTTTCGATAAATTTGATGTGAATTACACTTCGATGAAAAAAAACTATTTCCTAGTTAAATTTTCCGTACGAAAACGGCAGTGTTAATAACAAAAATGAGCTCTGACTTCATCGTTATTACAAAATCCATTAATGGCCTGTTGGACCCGAGATGTCGATCCAAGCTTAAAGCATCAGCTCCTAGTTCACTTGCCAACTCAATTTTCAAACGATATCAGATTTAATGGATGTGCCAAATTTACACCTAACTTTCATAATAACCTAAAAAGTAAGGCTGAAACGTGAGCATTCTTTTCGGCAAAAGAAACGATTACTTATCCGCTTTGGTTATAAGAATATTCTTGCTCACTACCACGCAATAACGGGGGATCTTGTGACTGTTAGACACAGCTTAGACACAATTCTGTATCTGTATTTATGTACATTAATGTTTTATTTATTTATCTTTCTTATAAGATGTCGAACTAATTTATATACTACTTTACTAATATATCAGTTGTAACTCTAGATTAATAAAATAACATTTCCACTCAAATATTTCTGTGAATCGAACCTATACCATACAATATAGTTCCAAGTGACTAATTGGGCACGGAAGAGATAGTTTAATTAACATAACACATACCTGTACGTCATGGACCAATTAAAAATATTTTTCAAGTCTTCTAACTTTGGTTTAACTTTCGCCATCGAAAACGCATTGATTGGAGATTCGTCGTTGAGAAATATCCACCTTTGTCTATTATTTCTTGTCGATGTGTTAGGAAACACGCCGTGTTGTATGTGTACTACGACAGCGTCAGCTGATTCCAGGTACTTGTCATCTCCTGTCAATAAGCAGTTTCTCACGCTGCACTGCTCTAGTGGGTCGGGCTCGCTTAAACTGAATTACATAGAACATAAGACATACTTAGCCTTACAAGCCACTATTTATTACATAAATATTATATTCAGATTGTTTTATTACGTCAAAGCATGGTGTCAATAGTCAATTTTCTTGTAAGCTTGGCGGTTAAAAAGATTGGCGGCAGTTATTGCCATTTCTTCTCGCCCGCTCAGTACCTTTGATTTGGGCACTGGTGGTAAATTTAGACCGTCAATTTTACATATTGACGTTCACCAACCATTATGAATAAATGAAATTTGAATTGATTTATCAACATTGTTTGTTCTCTCTTCCACGTGTGTTGTTTTGCATTGTCATTTGCAAATTGAAATTTAAATAACAAAGAGCCCACATTAGACGTCCTCCAACTCTAAAAAGCCAGTCAGAAAGAAAAAAGTATACAAATTAAAACAGTGTAAACGACTTTATTAAACCTGGCTCATATTAACTTGAATATATCGGTACCTAGAAACAAAAAAAATATCTTCACATATTGGGTCTAACGATTCAAATGTGACTCTATAACAATACAGTTCTTTTAGACTTAAATAATAAAACGTGACCTTGAAAATTTATAAGGCATAATCTGCTTATCGTAATTCTCTTGGTAAAGATCTTAAAATCGGTTCCCCGAATCTGATGATACTGATTATGCAGGAGTCTCGGGGCACCTTGATAGGAACACCTCCAAGTGATTTTCGATTCGAAATTACCACGACCCAGTAGCAAAATGGTTTTTTTTTTTCATCGATTTTTATGCTAAAAACAATCAAATAATTTACCGAGAATGTCACATCTCTTATAACCAATAGAAATGTAGAAAATGGCGGATTGTTTACAAATTTCAATACATTTCACAAAACCTTTTTTTTAAATACTTAGACGCATTTCCGGCAGCAAAAATTACTTGTAGCCTGTAGGTGTTCCAATCAAGATGCCCCGAGACTCCTGCAAAATCAGTATTATCAGATTCGGGGGACCGATTTTAAGATCCAACCCATTCACTTTGTGGAAATTACTATAGAGGATGTGCGCATTTTATATTTATTACCGTAAAGGTTGAAGCCTGAAGGACACAACTATCACGTAATTTTATCGGTGATGCCTACTATGATTTGAGATAGTTAAAGATAAAACGTTTATCACAAAGTGACTAACATATATGCGTCGTGATTTATTAAAAGGAATAATTAAAATATTTTCACCGTATTATCGGAAGCTAGAAATAGGTACTGACTCTAACTAAAATTTGGAGTCGACAACGAGCGGATACTACGACTCAAAAATCTAATATGTTTTTGTCATATATATATATGTCCGTGCTAAGTTTATATCGTCAGTACCCCGGCTATGTTTAATTATTTTTAACCAACTACAAAAACCGGAAGCATTTTTCACTTAAACGCTCTTCAACTTCGCCGGTACCCTGTAACTTTCAATAGCGGTATTGATTTTGTATGAAATTTCAATATAGTTCTTTATCGCCGATGTCCTGGAATAAACTCAAAATTGAGTAGGTACCGTAATCGTTATTCCTGTTGGGAGTCACAATGTACCGGCGCAACAGATGTTTCCTTTCAAAAACACCTGTTATTAGAACAAACAATTGCCGATAAATGTCGTCTACTAACCGTTCGTTATCAAAACTATAAATGTGACGATTCTTCAGCCAGTCCCAGTGTTTCCATATTAAAACAATAAACCTTTTGTTCTCTCTTCCACGTGTGTTGTTTTGCATTATGTCATTTGCAAATTGAAATTTAAATAACAAAGAGCCCACATTAGACGTCGTCCAACTCTAAAAAGCCAGTCAGAAAGAAAAATTATACACATTAAAACAGTGAAAACGGCTTTATTAAACCTGACTCATATTAAAATGAATATATCGGTACCTAGAAACAAAAAAAATATCTAATTATAAATCTAAAACATTCTCAAATCCAGATGAATAGGTACGCAAAAAAGTTCATCAAAATCCAGCAGTTTTGGCAATAACTTAGATTGATATATTTATAAAACAATTTACCTCTCTCTGTTCTAAAAATCGTCGAACTATCACATCGTGTGCGTTATATTCCTTATAATATTTTGTGTCTATATTATAAACCTTGCCTAAATACACTCCTACTACGATTATACTTAATAATGTTACAATTAATATGTTACACAGTACACTCTTTTTCTTTAATTTAAATAACATTTTATTTAAATAACTCGGGTTTTACCGGTAATGACTACACTAAACTGATAGTATTCACATTTAAATACGTAATGGATCATTGTAAAACATTGTTTTAATGTGTATGGCACTCCACAACTTATATTGACGATTTTGATATTTTTTTGAATTTCGAATGACATTCGAAAATCTTAACAAAAATTTCGTTAATACTTAACAAGCACTTAGTTTACGATATTTCATGTAAAATGTATAAATACATTTGAACATCTTTACGTTACACTGCGCTCACTTTACATGACGATCTGCGTCCTAGTTGTTAATTTTTTTCTATTTGGTAATCTAAACAGGCTTTTTTCTACGTAACGACTAATTATTATTTGAAGAATTACTAGTTAAAATAATATGGTTATCTGATAAGATATCTGATTAGATATTATCAGCAAATTTTCTTTAAGTAATATATCATTCACTTTAATTAGTATCACTTATCACCTTATAATATTACTGGATAATATTGTCATTGTATTTAACAATTAGCCTAATTTATAATTAGTTTTGTTATTGCGTAACTAAAAAAGTATTATTACACATCAAAGGACTCAAATCTTTTTAGTATTTCTCGCACATAATATTGTCTTTGCATTTAAGAATTAGCCTAATTTATAATTAGTTTTGTTATTACGTGATTAAAAAGTATTCAAAGTAAGACTCAAGTTATTAAGTAATATTTGTCACGTTATTTACTGAGACTAGGAAAGGTCATTTAAAATGTATTAAGTATATTGCAGCTAAAACCAAGTATGAAATGTGAAACGTAAGTATTCGAAACGATGAGGCCGTAGACATATTATCAGGTATAAGAATTAGGTATATATATCATAAATAATCTTACATCAAGTCACCAAGAGAATATCAATTAATGTAACAGAGAAAAATGTATATAAATGTATGAACATGGCATGGTGAGTGAGTTGGGTCATAGTTATGGAAGCTTAGGTATATAACAAATTTTAGGTAATGCATGAGCAGTTGTGTGTGTTTTTATGCACGATAAACATTTATAATACGTATATTACCTATGTACTATTTTATTTATTGAACACGGCCGGTATTTCGAGATCTAAATCTTTGATTTGTGAAAGTCCAAACTTATCTATCGCAGAGATGCGTCTTTGAATTGCAGCCAAGTTCATATCAGAAAGGAAATGTCATAATCTTTATATAGCTAGCAAGTAACATCAGTATTATTATGAATAACAATTTATCCACATTGCTTATCATATAAATAAAGATAGTTCTAAGACAGATTCGAGAATTTCTGTCCGTTACTAGGAACTTGAAAAATCAGGAACCGTAGTTTTATAATTAAAATTAATAGGAATTTCAAATAAAATATTCTGTTAAAATATAAGTATAAACAGTTGTTAATTTGAGCTCGCGTGGAAATAAAATATAACTAAATATTTCCTTTATACTAAATAATATACTTATTTTATTTTGCCACATATGCCAAAAATATCTTTAGAATGCAATAAACGTTCGTTTCTCCTTCTAAGGACGAATTACTTAAAGAAATAGCCTTTCTTTTAATATATGGGATATGTTATCTTTAAATAAATCACAACCCATTTTTATCTTTGTTAATTGGTTTATAATAGACAATTCACAAGCTAAAAGCAGCCAGCCCCCCATTTAAAAAAATTAGGCGCACTGTTTTTTGTGTTGGGAGGGGGCCCCCTCCCCCCCCCCCCCTCCTAACTGAAACAAGACAATAAATTAGATTCGGCACTGATAGAAACAGCTCTAAAAAATAAGAAACAACATATTATATATATTCCAACACGGTCTTCTAAAGCGTCCGCCTCTGGAGAAGGACGATAGCTTTGTTCCTGCCATGAAGTGGGAAGGCGACTTCAACAAAATAGCTGATCCTATATGTTTAGCAAAACACATACATCTAAAGGATACAGACAAGCAGTTCCAGACAAACTCCAGTTGCAGAGCAACAATGATTAACCAATTTTTTAGTTAGTTTCGAAAGTAATTGCTAAATTCAATTTAGTAGAAAAGTATTTAGAAAGTAATCATGTTAGGCATGTATAATTAATAATTACTGAGTATTATTGTAAGATAGAAACAGCAATAAAGGCTATTTTATTTTATTTTATTGATTTTATATTGATATAATAAATTAGGACGTGTCACTTAATCCTAGCCATTATCTATGTTACGTTACAGTCTACAGATTATAAAATCCATCTTAGGCTGTGGTGAATTTATATTGACAGTTGAAGTTGTCTGATGACAATGGCATCACGTTTTCATTTTTAGAAGTTGATGTCTCAGTAATTTGTCATAAGTTTAAGATACTATCAGCTGTTCACATAGATAGTTCTAACCTATTCACCGATTTTTAGTCTGTGTTTAACGTCCAGTATTGCTACAATAAGAGATTCGCATATTTTACAGTAACATTACTTATTGCTGTGAGGTGGGAAATCGGTGCATGGTTTTGGTGGGAATCGCTGTAGAAGTGAGGTCAAGTATGCCAAGAAATAGCGGAACACTAATGTAAGCAGAACCCCGGCCAGTCCAAGTCGCCCACATCCTAGTCGTCCACCCTGGGACCTGCTGCAGCTACGCTTTCGGACACCCACTACCTATAGCTGCAGCTGAGCTAAGGATGCAGGGCAAAAGGCGAATATTCTGCGCCTTAAAACAGAATCCACTACCTAGGGAGGACACTCGCATAAACCAAGCTTGTCTGGAAGCTAAGGTCTCAGCTCCACTACCGGACTAGGGCACAATCCTTTTTAAATTAAATTAATTAAATTACCTTGAAAACCTATCTGGCACCGTCGAACCTATCCTTTGCATAGAACAAGCTGTCTTTTGCCCTAATTACTCGTGTACTGACCTAATTAACACTCTTCGTATAATTCTCGAACATGTATCAGAATGGCTAAGGAAAATTTATGTTACCTTTTTTGACTTTCTATTATATATATGTAGTGGCCAAAAAGTGAATCAAACGCAAATAGGGGATAGATGAGGTCATCAGCTGCAAAAAATTGTTCTACTGGAGGTCTCTAAGCTTAACCCCTGCAGAGTTATAATTTATTTTGCGTTTTTATAAGAAAATAGACTTTTTTTACTAATTCTTATTAAAATTCGAAAATATATACATCCTGTATCTTTTTCATAATATCCACTAGATTGGTACTGAGATGGCTGCTGAGATGAAGCAGCATGGTCGCGACTCTCTTATATTTGTGTCCCACTGAAGATGATCAACCTAGTAAAGGCCATCTACAGGAATCATTCTTGTAGAGTGATTAATGGGGGCCTCGTCTCAGACACATCGGGTGTCGATTAATGAACAAATTAATCAACATCTTAAAATACTTGGATGAACTTCTCCTGGATCATACGCACCGCGATATGCCACCCAAGCTGGTCAGCCTGGAATGCGAGGCGGGATACAGTTGCAGATGAGGCAAACGGAGGAAAAAATTGGAGTGAGGTGAAATATGAGTATGGATGTCCTCTGCCCCATCTAGAAGTCATAGAACATTAAATAAAAATAAAAAAAACGTATCACTGTACAAGATAAGTTATTAAGTATATCTGGTGAAATTACAAGTAGTAGGTATATTTTTATATAAAATATACAGTAGATAAAAGTTGTTTTTGGTTGAAAAAGTACAATTTTGTTAAATTTAGGTATTTCTTGAAATACAAATTACAAGAGTTGGTTTTCTATAAAAATATAATTTCGCCTGTAACAAAATATGACAGCTTACACGGAGGAATATCCGTTAGACACTCATAAAGTTTGCAAATCGACACATTAATGATGGCAACATTGAGGTTTGCTTCAAGAAAGTGAAAACTGGGGCCCATCAAAGGCCAGAAATATACATTACAATTGCATTGGATTTCATACTTTTACCCGCATTTTCATTATAAAATACATCTAAATGGCACTCAATCCGCAATACGATGCTATAGGAAAAGGTTTTGTACAGCAATATTACACTTTGTTTGACGATCCGGCACAACGAGCAAACCTGGCTAATATGTACAATGTGAGTAATTTGAAATGGTTTATAAACGCTTAACTTGTTACAATAATATAATATTTAATAGCAAAGCCTTGAAGGGTTATATCATAAAACTGTTCATTAATTTTAAGGTTAATATTTCCTTACCTACACTAAGCTCCCGCCGAAAAATTGTGGTATTGCGCATTCTACTTCTAGAAAATTCCTATCTGATGCCGGTCTTATTCATTTTAGGTTGAATCATCATTTATGACTTTTGAAGGTGTCCAACTTCAAGGTGCTGTTAAAATAATGGAGAAGTTGAATGTGAGTGGAATTGATTTTATTTATTATGCTTAAGATATAGTGCTAAGGCTAACAAATAATGTTTATTTTTCAGGCTTTAACCTTTCAAAAAATTGGTAGAATAATAACATCTGTAGATTCACAACCAATGTTTGATGGTGGTGTTTTAATTAATGTGCTCGGCAGATTGCAGGTTAGTGGATTAATAATTCATTTCATAATTGTTACTTACAGTTTAATAAGAAACGAAAAAAACATAATATGATTAGTAAATTTTACATAGACAGATGACGATGCTCCTCATGGATATTTCCAAACATTTGTATTGAAGCCAATAGGAAATTCTTTTTATGTTGAACATGATATGTTCAGACTGGCTCTTCACAATGTATAATAATTTCAACTAGTAAGCAAAATAGTTACCTTTTTATATGCACTGTGCCATGTTTGCCACCAATTGTATATTATTCCTGACTCAAATGTTCATAATTACTAAGAGCCTAACACAATCAGAACATTATTATTGACAAGAATGTGTTTTTCTTGGTTATGATTTCTTTTAATTTCATTATATTAGTGTATGGTAGACATGCATGTTATATAGTAAAACAATAATAATTTGTATTATTTAACCCAACTACATTGTACATGTATAATATTGTCTTGTACCTATTAAATTATGTGACACCTAAGGTTTGTTCTATTTGTGTAAGTATGGTAAAACTTAGAATATACATAATACAGTCAAAATCTGTTATTACAACATCATAGGGACTACTCATATTTGGTTGTAAAAACCGATAATTGTAACAGCCGATGACGTTGTCCCTAATACAAAAGAATTTAGCCGGGACCTTTGATTTTGGTCAATATAACCGGTATGATCTTTTTAAACAGTTTTGACTGTATATTATATATCTGTCAAATATTTTCTTTACAAAGCAAGAGCTTCGTAGATAGATAGATTCTTATCTACTCCTAAAATTGTATTTATCAATTACTTAAAAACCTATAAATAACTAGTATTGTAGAGAATAATAATAAGTTAGATGGTTAGGGTAGTAGGACTCCTTTCTCCGCAATTAGACTCCTAATTGGTCCGTTGTGCATACTAATAAGTTAGAATAAATAATATTATTTTAGGCATAATCATTGTTTGAGCTAGAATGTAATCCATATAGTCTCTTATTCTTTTCATAGCTTTAGGAAAAGCTTTTGACAATTTTCTTAACCTATATGATTCCTTTAAATAATGAAGTAATTTTTTATTTCAGTGTGATGATGACCCACCCCACCCATATGTGCAAACATTTGTCTTAAAGCCACTTGGGGACTCATTCTTTGTTCAGCATGATTTATTCCGTCTCGGTATCCATGACATTGCTTAAGTACTTTATTAAATCAACGCGAATAAACCCATGCTGTTTCTTGTTAGTTATAAAGGTATATAAGATTAATTACTGCAATCATCGCCTGTGAAATTCTAAAAATTGTATATTTCCTCTGAATTTAGTGTGATATTGGCTTAGATAACCTTAAAGATAATGTAGTCAATGAATGGCGTACTTTTTCAGTTAAATGTATACATTTTGTAATAATAAACAATTAATTTTTTAGTCATTGTTTTCATTTATAATTCATCAAAATATACAATAGGTTGATTATTTGAATTGGATTTAAAATAAATTTGAACAATGTGGGGGTGAATTTTGATGTATAATGAGTTTAGGTCCTATTTGGGAAAATAAAACATATGTAGACGCTAAGACAATCATGTATTAATAAATAGTCAAAAATAACAAACGAACCACTGAAAACAGGTACATTTTACCAATCTCAGAATTCAAGACTTGCTCTTAAAATCCTTAGACGCTACGAACGCTTAACAAGTTACTTGCACTACTACAAATTACACCGAGCCGCGTTCAGCCAAACTCGTCTAAGTGTATGACTAGGATGCAGTGAAACGCTCCATCGCGGGCCAAGAGTCTCTGGCTTTACAAATCCAATACTAATTTTTTTTTCAGAAGGGCACTCACAATAAATACCGCTTCGGAATACTTAACATTCGATGACGTACTCGTCTAACAAATGTATATTAAAGCAATTATCAGATGTTTAATAATATCAAATGTTAAAAACTATTTGATCCTCTAAGACTACGTAGCAGAGATCAAATTAAAATTAAACATGGCAAGACCAAACGGTCAATTTATATGTAATATTTGTACATAGCCATTATAGCCTCTATTGACAGTACTGTTCCATTACTACATATAACACAACCAGTCAGCGTAGCATCTTTCACAACACGAAAACAACTTTGGGATCATACTAACTTAATACTATGTATGAAGGGCGGAAATATATTAGTTTTTATATGAAATAACTACAGTTTTGACAATTGACAATATTCCAAGCCGCACTCATACATAGTAAAATATTAAAACATCAACAGATAACTAACAAAATAACAAGTTTAATAACAATAGAACAGTACCACAATTTACATTCTTACCCAAACGTTAGGCGTTCATCTCATATTTTTAGCCTGCGATTTTTCATTTAGCAAGCGAATCTTAATTTTCAAGGATTTTGGTTTACGATCTTCAGCAAGTTGATATACCATAAGATCCAATTTTAAAGAATTCAAAAATCTCCGTACATCACTTTGAAATTATCTTAACGGCCGTAAATGACATCTTAACAAAAGCATTCTTCGAGATTCCAATCGAATTAATTACATACAATAACAAAAACAGATATTTTTAGAGATAGTAATTAAGTTAATAGCAACTCATTGGATTTCAATTTGTTCAACGAAATAAAAAAAAACAGATTAATTCTACAATAAGTACATATTTTAAAGTAATTTTTGGTTAATATTTTGAGCAACTTGCCGAGATCGTAAGAAGGTGCGGTGGGGTTTAAGCCCCGCCCTTTTTACGTCCGCGTGATCCGACCACGCCTCGCAAAGATCGCATGGCCATGGCGCGGTTGAAGTGACGCTGCGTTTTGTGATCGTCCGCCTCGCCTCCGCTGTCCACTGATGATAGGATCACAAGGAGTACTCCCATCACCTAAACAGTTTAATTAGTTGTTTAGTTGGCGAAGACCATAACTTAATATATATAATAAACCAGTGCGCCCTGACCGTGACTAAATAAATATTTCCACGCTCTAATAGTAACAGGAATTCTTCATTCTTTCTGGATTAATATAGCGACAGGTGAAATAATTTTCAAATCAATTATTTCCGGAGATACATTCCTAAAAATAGGCTCATAACCTCACTTTATTAGATGAGAGGAACTCTACTAGTTCTGAACCATATACATAGTATAAATCTTATTAAAAACATACCAAACAAACAATAATAAGTAAGGTGTACACATGTACTGTGGCTTCAGGTATATTCTCAATATCCTTAAGCGCAGTCAGTGCTGGCTCAAAGTCTGGCCTGAGATCCAGAGCATGCCTTAAGTGAACAGCAGCTTCCTGAAACATGAATACGTCATTTATTTTCAAAGATTGGTGAAATTTAAAAAATCCTCACATTTGCTAATCTGTGTTTATTCGAACTCAGGGTTGGGAGACGGTAATACATATTTAACGTAAATAATTACACCACAATTTAAACATAATTAGGAATAAATGGCTTGCTTATCTATGGAGTCAAGGTTACGCTAGTAATTTTAATATATATAAATTACGTGTCACGTTGTTTGTCCGCTAAGGCCTCCTTAACTACCGAACCGATATCAATCAAATTTGCACACCGTGTGTAGTTTGATCCAACTTAAAAAATAGGATAGCTTACATCTTAATTTATACCCGCAATATTATTTTATTGCAAAATGTTTACTATTTGATAGTCACAATTCTAACAGATGGCACTGTGTTGAAGGTACCAACGTTTCACATAAGCTAAAATTTAATGACATAACCACCAAAAGCATGGCGGTCCCCATGTCGGGTGTTCTCCTACCGTTTCTCTTGAAAAGTTTACTACTATGTAATATAACAAAAATCTTAGCCACAGCATCGCTTGGCCGACTCTGCTAGTAATATATATATTACTCCCTATAAAAATGATTATATTAAAAAAAAATCTTGAAGTAAAACACTTTTTACCTACTTGGATATTGCACCTTCAGAGATAAAACGTCTAACACAAATTTAACTTGCGGTGCAGCCGTGACACCTGATGTATTAGGGTTCGTTACCCTGTAGGATTATTTTACGATGAATTTTCACTGGCCAAAATTTACAGGTTACAAACTTTCATCGAACCCGGCACTTCAAGTGTACGGCAGTAAACCGCGGTATATATAATAACTAAATACCTGATAATGTCCATATGCCTTGAATATCTCTCCAAGGGTAAAGTACTGTTGCCACGCACTGCGATCTGGCGGTTGTACTTCGAGGGAGCGCCGCGTCAAATAGATCGCGTCGTCTAAGTACTGAAGGGTGAACAGAACGCGTCCTAGGTTCAGCAGTACCTAAAACCATACACTATTATTTAAAAATGAATAACAAAATTATTTAGTATTGTTCTTGGTTTACAAGTACTGGCTGCCAGCCATGTCAGTCTCTAGCAGACCATTAATGCTGAAAAGCACTTCGATTTATGTAAATTTTGTAATATACGTAGTCGGTCCCAAAGTTCTGTCATAAATGGAATAATATAAAAAAAAAGTACTGATCAGTTTGTAATGAGTGATATATCAATTCTTAGTAAATAATTTTAAAAAAAGCATAAAAATATTCGAAATAACCTCCCTCATTTAATACAGGCCCTAAGCGTCGCGGCCAGTCGTCTATCGCAGACGCACCATATTCGTGTCCATTTCAGTCACTGGTTTTTAAAGATGACTTCAGATTCTCCAAATTTTCATGAGGTTTATCACAGACCTTCCCTCTCTAAGCCCTTCATAATTTCTGGTCCAAAGGATTAAGGTCCGGACTGGAGGAAGGCCAATCCTCATGTCTAATTAAGACGATGTTTTGACGCTCAAACCAGGCTTTAGTTGTCTTGGCTTTGTATGCAGACGCAGAGTCCTGCTGGAACACGAAGTGATGTCCCAAATAGGGTGCTGAATCTTGACAAGGCGATAAAAACCGTCTCTTGGTACACTTAGCACTGGTTTTGACCCCCTTTTCGAAAAAAATTAACCTCAGTTAGCCCGTAATAGGACACTCCCAACAAACCATTACTGATGATGGATGATGTCCATGTTCACCCTTGGAACTTTATTTTCAGCTTCTTCAGAACTCCTAGCGTACACTGTATAATTATGTTTATTGTACTTCTCTTCAATATCAAAAAATTTTCGTCCGTAAAGAGGATATCACGGTGTCGGTTTTCCCGTACCGCTTAAACAACACCCCGATCTCTTAAGCCTTATTGCTTTTAGACGAGCATTAAGTAAGTGCCCACTCTTTTTTGTATGCTCGTAGACCAAGATCTTCATTTAAAACCTTTTTACTGTTTTCCTACTGACACCCATCTACAAATCCATCAACTTCTGTTTCGACAGACTTTCTTACTATCCGCGCCTTGATAGCTTTGATTACTGCTGGTGTTCTTGCGGAGCGTGGCCACCAGTTCTTTCTTGTCCTCAACACTGGAGACTTCAAGGTACCTATCAATAGTACCGTACACAAACCTAACGTTATATTCAATTTTGGAGCAACTTGAAAATGGTACTCGGCGAGTGTCCAAGGGTGCAACGCAATAACAAATATTCGGTTTACTTTCAATGTCCACTCATGTAAAAATTACGGAAAGTTATTGTTTTTTTTTAAAACATATCAATCAAAATAGAATGCAATAATTTTTTTATAAAATCCTGCTCAAATTAGAAATAATGTGCTAGTGACAGAACTTTGGGACCAACTACGTATATATGGGTTTCAATCCATAAGAAAATGTTTATTTAAAAAATATACTTAGATATCATATGGTTCAGTTGTTCAAACAAAGAGAAATACAAGAAAGTAATCGTAATATACGAAAATTAGATAAATGGTTTTAGACTTGTTTGTGTGTGAAACATTTTCTAACCCTTGAAAAATTTTACTACTGAGCCAATCAAGATAGGAGAGCAACATCAGGGGTTCATGCTACTCCATATTCTAAGGTTACGCGTTGGTGAGCTGAGTTCAAATGAGGAAGAACTTCCATTAACAACGACGAAAAAATCAAAATACGTTTATTCAATTTAGATGCTTCTTAGAGCATGCTTATGAATGTCAACGTTTACAAAATTCACGAAAGAGCAAGACTACGCCATCCGTTCGCAAAACTACCAGGAGGCCTTGTTCTGAGAAGAACGGGCAAGAAACTCAGCAAGTTTGCCCTCCCTTTACATTACAATTATTCAAAGGAAAATGTCATAAACCACAACGTCATTAAAATTCCATAAGTAAAAAAAAATAAAAAATCTGTTCTGTGATTTACCACATTCACCATTACACACATATTCATAACACTTCAAAGATAACAAATCAAATTATAAGAATATAATTAGAACTATTGCCAAGCGTTTTTATCTTCCAGGTAGTCATTGACTGTGTAGTAACCTTTACACATTAAGGTTTTTTTGATGTGTGTTTTGAATCTGTTTAAAGGCAGTTCCAATATTTCACTAGGAATCATGTTATAGCAGCGTATACTTAGGCCCATAAATGAAGTATTTATTTTCTGCAACCTGTAAAAACGAACATCCTCCATATTCACTGGACCTAGCTTCTGGTGATTTCTTCCTATTAACGCGGTTAAAGAAACATCTCAGGAACCATTTGAAGATATTGACGCAGTAGTCGCCGCGGTACACGGTTTTTTAAGGGTTAAGGAGTTTTATAAAGGGCTTGCTTAAGAAAACAAATATATAATCCTAAAAGGTTTACTACGTCGAACAATTTACTATAATTACGTAATTACTTAAAATAACTTTTTACGTAAAACCCTAATAAACTGTAATTATTTATTTTTTGATAATGAAAATAATCCCGTGCGTTTACAACCTTTATGAGGGTTAAATTTTATAGGTTTTGGTCTCAGATTTTGTTGTTGCAGTGTTCACTTGCTAGTTAAGTGTGTACTTGATTATAAGCTATTTTTTTTTTTTTTTAAAAACATACTTCATCGAAATAAATAATTAGTGCCACACGTGTTTTTTTATTTCTATGTGCTTAATATTGGTATTTCTAAAGTAAAAAATCAAGAGTTCTTCAATACATAAATGTCATGGCACAAATAACATACCTCTGCATTATAAGGAGAAACTGCCAATGCTCGTCTAAAACATTCAATTGACAGTCTTGTATCACCTTTGATTCTCCAGAAGTTACCAATCTGATTGTACAATTGCACTGATTTAGGTTTTTCTCTTTTTGCTTTTTTAAGACGCTTCTCAAGTGTATTAATGTCTAACTCGGTTACACCGTTTTTGTATGTTTTTTTCCTTGTAAATATAAGGGCGATCTGTAATTATCACACTCCAATTAATTACATAGTATTAAGGTTTGGTAGCATAGATGGTTCACCTAGATGGGATCCGAACAGAACAGAAATATTTAGATTATTTTATGTTACCTAATTAGTAAATTGTGTACTAATAGCTAAATAAAGATGTCCTTTAATAAAGAATTAAATCACAAATGAGAAACAACATTAACCAGCTGCAGTTCCCAAAGTAAATTAATTATTGGGGAAACAGAATATACAAAGAATTTTAGTAATGTCTATCTCATTCAAGAACAACAGCTTTCTACTGATGATATAATATTTAAAATTGGTTCAGTTGTGCCAGAGACTCCTACATAGCTTGTCTGTTAGCTATAGGTGAGTTTGATTTATTCAAATACTTAATTACTTACTTGAGGTTCAGGTACATTTGGATGTCTATGACGCCTAGCCACTCCAACCAGGTTGTCATAATATGTAAAATTGACTGCTTTTCCACAATCTAAGTATTCATCTTCAGGTTCACCAGTATTGGTGTCTGGTTGATTAATCTCTTCACTATTATCAGAGGCACTTCTGTAAAAAAGAATAGTCTATGGATGTATCTAGTCCAGTCATAATAGTTCATTAAAATCAATGAGAGAAAGCAGTTTTAATTTAATAAAAAACATTTTTTAAAATCATAAACTTTTTTGAAGAGTAACTTTTGATTACATTATTAAATACACCCCACACTCCATGCAAGTCAGTAAAAACAATTACAATTAACAATAAATCATGAGTAAATAGCCCAAAACAAACCAAATACTATTTTTAGTATATTGTGTGCTACATATTAGTGTACCTCTGTTGCTCATACATCTGGCAGTCAGTGCAGAACATATCAAAACTGTGCTTTGTCCAAGTATTGCCATAATATACAGTTGATGTTATTATATTGAAAACAACATCTTCTTCAGTCATTTTAGCTTTTTCAGAGTCATCCTGTGTGCAAATAAAACAATTTCATTATAACTCATATAATATAATATTTTTGTAATAATAATAAAGTGAGTTTGACAATAAAGTTACCTCATTACACACAGAAAATTATAAGTTTGTTAAAATTAAACAGCAAGCCCTTCATTTGTAGCCGTAAGTGCCTTGAATATTGATTATATAAAACACATGAAATTAAACATGACAAACCTGCGATACTGTAGTTCCGTCAATAATTTGACCTTGTTCAGCATCTAATTTCCAAATATTAGAGGTACGGGAGTTAGTGACAATAATTTGAAACGAAAATATGTACAAAACCAAACAGGTCAAATACGGCGATTCTCCCATTTTGACTTGTTTTGTTAAAAGCAAACATGAAAGATATTTTGTTATATAATAATTTGCAATAACTTTCACACACAAATCTTTTTAGGGCACAGTAAGATGAAAAAGCAATAAATAATAATCGAATTGTCCTCTAAATCTTCCGAGTTCCGTCTTTATTTTGACAGATGAAATAAAATCAAAATAATCCATGAAGGCTAAAATTTAGTATTGCCATATCTATGCACTATAATTTTGGGGTCCTATGAACACTCTTTACAGTCAAAGTGGAGAATTAGTGCAAACTAAGTCAAAAATCATCACGATCCAATACGTTTTTTACATACGAACTTGTATTTAACGTTAAATTGTAATTTTGATTCTATCCGCAAGATATTTTGCGAACGATGTGAACCACCATCTTTATAAATAATCTAAAATTTAATTTGTAGACATAACATAAGCTTTAACTTAGATTTTGACATATATGGGATTATGTCTTTTGCTGGCTCTAAAACGTGAAACGATCGTGGAAGGTCACTTCACTTCACTCTATTTATAATGGCGACTTCTGTGTAAATCACAATTCCGCCAATGTCGCGTTCTAAGTATTCACACGGTGAGGATAGATTTGATAGAGTGGAAGGTGATATTCTACATTGTACTATAGGTCGGTTATCGTAAGCTGGCGCGTTCACAGTACTCACACTAATGCAATTTCACTATACAGTATGTTTAAAAATATGACTTTTTTGCCAAGCTATATATTTTAGTCTACTCTGGTTTTAGTAAGGTTGGGTGGGTTGTAAAATAAATAAAAATGTGTCAAATTCATATAAATATTATGTGCATACCAGGGTGGATCCAAAAGTTAAGAACGTAAAAGCGTAGTTTGTGTAAATAATTTTTCATTTTTCGACATAAGCTCCATCTAGTTCAACACACTTCACTTTTACTTCACTAACAATTCTTTCAATACTCCTCTTAGAAACCCCAGTCGCATCTGATGTCAAATTAAAAATAACATTTTTTCATTAAACTGCTTAAAATAAATAAAAACATTGTGCACCATTTCACGAGATTGTCCTGGGGGGTTAGTCAAGATGCCTTAACAGTAGTGTATGTAGAAAGTCGAAAACTAAATTTGTATGGAAATGACAGTTCGTGTCGAAAAGTTTTCATACAAATTTCGTTTCTGACTTTCAACATACACTACTGTTATGGCATCTTGACTAAGGCCCCTGGTAATGTTTGAAAAAAGATCAACATGTACAGTAAAGATCAACATAAACAGTAAAAGCAAAACAATAACTGTCACTTTTATACTCATAAGCTTGACCGAGCGCGAGAGAGACGGACAGACTTTTCATGATGTATTTGTGATTGTATTTCAGTTTGACATCACGCCTCGCGCTTATTCACAGACACTACACAAGCACAAAGTGTAAATGTGTTGAAGCCGCCAGCTTTAAATAACATACCAATACTATTTACCACTACGATTAATAATGTCAATTGTCATTCGACTTGCTTGAAGTAACTTGATAGCATATTTGTTTAGCACAAATAAAGTTTACATTAATAAAAGTATACTCGACTTAGTTTACAAACTCCTTTAGAAATGACCTAGCAAGATGAATAAAAAAGTCAGTGGAAATACTGCTAAAAAAGAGCGGACTGGTGATAATTGCCGCCCATTCAAATTATAAGTATCCCGATTATAAGAAAAATATCTAATTGCCCTACATAATTTTAATAAAACGTTTCTACTATTACAGCTCACCAGATATTAAGTTTAACAGGAATAAGTTTCGAGAGAAGAAGTGTAATTGTATGTAATTTTACTCCTTATAAAATGCAACCTGTCTTTAATGTTCATAAAAATATGTTTAATATTTCAGGGTTTTGTTGAACTCACCATAGTGCCGTTAAAGGATAATTTAAGGTATATTCGTTTAAACGCTAAACAGTGTCGCATATACAGAGTGTGCCTAAATGATCAATATGAAGCAAACTTCCAGTATTTTGATCCTTTCTTGGATATATGTCAAAATGATCCCAATACGTGAGTGCTTTAAAGTGTTGACTATACATTAGATAAAAACTCAATTAAATTCTTACTCATGTATGGATAATTTTAGGAGATCTTTGGAAGTTTTCTCCCAGTTTCATCTATCAGCAGCTCAGAAAATAGACCCTGATCACAATTCTGGTGAGCTTCACATCCAAGTACCAGATGAAGCAGCTCATTTGGTTGGTGAAGGGAGGGGACTCAGAATTGGTATTGAGTTTTCTTTAGAGTCTCCTCAAGGGGGAATGCACTTTGTTGTTCCCGAAGGAGAGAGTACATTGGTTGAGGTATGATTCCATAGAGCTTACTGTTATCTTTTTTTCTACTAATATCTTTTATTCATAATTTTTTATGAGAATCTTGGTAAACATATTTATAATTAATGTGTTTAACAAGAAATGCAACATTAATTTTCTTTTCAATAATGTTGTTTAAATTGATTAATGTAGCTTTTGATAAAATGAGTTCTGTGAATTGTTTTCAGAAATCTGCTCACATGTTTACATACGGCCACTCTGCAAGGCTTTGGTTTCCATGTGTTGACAGCTTTGCTGAGCCATGTACTTGGAAATTAGAATTCACAGTAGATGAGTGTTTAACTGCTGTATCATGCGGGGAGTTACTCGATGTAGTCTATACACCGGATCATAGACGTAAAACATTCCATTATGTAGTTAATACACCTGCTTGTGCTCCGAATATTGCATTGGCTATTGGGTGAGTCTCTAAATATTTACATAAAAATTATATAGTAAGACTGAACTGGGGAGGTTAAGAGATCATATGGAATTTACTTCTGAGATGTATACTTACTACCAAAGGCCTTTGGTATTCAAGTATGAGAGTACACATATTATCTTTTACAGACCATTTGAAATATATGTGGACCCACACATGAATGAGGTAACACACTACTGCTTACCAAATTTGCTTCAAATATTGAAGAACACGGTGAGATACCTGCATGAGGCATTTGGTTTTTATGAGGAGACATTGTCTACAAGATATCCATATCCTTGCTACAAACAGGTTTTTGTTGATGAGGTTAGTACTAAAATTTTTGTTTTTGTAACTAAAAAAATTATGTATTTTTTTTTTGTAACATAAAAAAAAAAAGGGTGCGTGTACTTATGTACGCGCGTAAGAAGATATACTTCTTTGGCATTATTAAAAATAGTTTTTGATTGCATGCAAATAATTAATTACAATTAAATAATCAAAGACTGGAAAAGGAGTCATTAAAGTCAATAAAGTTCAGTTTACATTTGAAAAATTAATTAAATAAATATTTATTATTATTCTCTTACATTAAACAAATAAAACATATTTATCTTTAAAACATTTTTATTTCATTATACTTTATTTTAAGTGACTCTAATGTCTTCATCAGAATTTCGGTTTGTAATTTTAAATTAATCATTATTGGTTGTGCATCTACGAGGCTTCTCCAAAACTACTTGCTTTCTGCAACAAATAAGAGAATTTAATTTAAGCTCTGTCCATCAAAACTTAAAATTTTATAATTCATATTATAAATTTTTTTAACACATTTATATTAATATAATTATATAAATTGTTAATAATATAATTTGTAGCACATGCTACAGACCTGGATAAACTTTCTTTTATTCCATTAGAGATAGAGATAATTTAAATATAATACCGGTGTCTTCCTTGTAGGTTTCTTTGGAGTTGTTTGGGGATTCTTGTTGTTCAGTTCGACATGATTTTCTTTTAACCTTTCTTTAATCCTACAAAATAATGAAATTGTTAAGTTATGTTGTCACTTTGTGCACACCTTTGTTTGGCTTTTTAGTATTCAAGTTATGTCAAAACTGATTTATTACCTTGTCATTGTTGGCTTTATTTGCTTTTGGGATATCAATTGTTTCCAAAATGATTTTATTTGTAATAACCTGAAATATATAAATAACATCTATTAATTTAAGTATCATGGTGAGTGGTTCGCACTCAGGTATTAAGGTGTATTATACCCACTGTCCATTATAAGTGGGAATGGGCTCACTTCTGCAGACAGAGTTTCGGTACTACAAGTGCAACATGGATGTTTTGAGGTATTACAATATCTCTAACTACCCTGTAGGGGAATAAAGTAATGTTGTAAGCATATGCCTATGCTTGAAAGGTTGAACCTTGAAATCACCATACATCATATTTATAATTAACATTCCTACCTCGACACCATCACAATCAAATTTATTGAAATCTACTTCAAACCATTGTGTCTCGAGAAGGTGATGGTGGCTTTGTTCCACCTCCAGTTTTGATGTTTCACGGCGATAAGATGACAACTCTTTTTGTATTCAATTAGTGCACTTCCACTGATTCATCAATTGTTTTTGTCTCTTTCCTTTATTGCTATTAAATCTGATGTTTTGATTAAATAATTGGTCATTTTTTGAGATGCAGTTTTAAAATTTTACTTCTCTTTATATCGTTCCAACTTCATTTTCTCCATTAGTATTCGTGCTTAAATCTTTGTTCTCAATTATTGATATATAGGGTCGTAGAATATTTCTAAAAAGTTGCTGTAACAAACCAATAAACAAAAGCAATGAATAATGGTTCATGTTTCAGTTTTAATCAACAATAATACTCGATAATACATACGGATAGTTAACCTCAATTGTATTGAAGCACTCAGGAAGGTTAGCACAGTTTTTCACAAATATTTTATATTAATTCACAAATATTTTGTATAATGAAAATAACTAGGTATATAATTATTAATTTTAAACAATAATTAAAACTCCTATATTTGTTTAAAAGGTAAATGTCATTGTCAGATGTCAATTGTCATGGTCATTCAAAATTCTTGTTAAGCTGCTAAGCTAGAATATGCGTGAAGTTAGCTTCACCATATTCTATTTCTTTTACTTGTAGTTTGTCTTATTCCCATCTCGCTCGCGCACGCTATATCACACTGCCAATT